AGTTTCTATCATGTAAGATATTATATGGGTCTAGAGAACTTTAAAAATTAATTTATTATTGAATATGATGAATTGGATCAAACGAGCGCAAGACATATAATAAATAAATGTTGATGATATTGGGCCTGCGGCCAATTCTATTAAATAGGAAGTTTATTTCCAATTTATAAATAGGAAGTTTATTTGGTATATTTTTGGCTTTACTATGGCTTTTAATGGCTTTAAAAGCCTATCCTATATTATAGCTTCCGGTCCTAACAATGTATTACCAAAATTTATACTTCAGAGGCGTAATAAAGTTCACACGTAAAGTTTAAGATGTTACGTATTTTTTAACCAATCAAAAATTTTTAACTAATTAATTGTATGCAATTGATAGTTGTTTTTCTATTTATTGTTTAGTTATAAGTTGTTGGTAATGGCTTTAAATTAATTAGTGTTGATAATTAATAGATCTAAACTATTATTAATTCCCATTAGCTAGATTTTCGAGTTTTTTCCTATCAAGATGGTAGCTACATTTGTTTGTTTTTATATTATATTTAAATTATAATAACTTTTAAAAAATAATTATTAATAAAACTATTTTTTAAATTAATTTTTTATCTAGACATTTTATTTAAAATTATTTAAAAATCATAAACTAAAATAAAAATCATGACAACCCACCATCCATATGCAATAATAAAATAAAATATTTTAAAATACGAAAGAATCTAAAAACATGTATAGGAAAAAAAATTATTGTCAACAAAGTTAAGTTGGTACTTTCTTTCATCTTAATTAAATTTCTCATGTTTATTTTTTTAGTAACTGTATGAATATGTAAGAAACAATTATATTATTAAGCAAATTGACATAGCTGTTTATGGATGAAATATAATAAATAATTAGTAAAATGAATTTTTAAATAAATTTAAATATAAAAATAGTATAACCCTAATTTATAGTAAATAATTTATATGTATTATTAAACCGTCATAGCATGCGGAAATACTTCAATATATATTGAAATACTCCGAATTTTTATTTTTGAAACTTTGGATTTTTTTTTTAAATCAAAAATCTCAATTTTCAATTATGGGCTGTAAATACCAATCTCAATTCAAGCCCAAATTTGCGAGTTGGGCCAAAGCCCAAATATATCATTGAAATTTTAGATTTGAGAACAGTTAAAATTTTCGAGAAATAATATAAAACTCCAGCAATTTAATCCATTATAAATATATATAAATTAATTATCCTAAAATCAAATATTAATAGTTTTTTTATTATTGTGTAAATGGAAAATGTTATGGAACCTAACTAAAATAATCAAAATAAATCAAGCCAAACCATTGAATTAGATCAAACCGGTTCGAATCGAACCGGAATGGTCTAGAAGCTCTAGACTCCTCCTTTCTTTTCTTCTTTTCTACTTCTTGTTCTTCTCTCCTGGAGAGCAGCGGCAGACATTCCTCTCCATCCCTTCTCCTTCCGGCGACGGCTCGACGGGAGCAAGGCAGTAACCGGTCTCCTTTTCGGCGCTGGACACAAATCCAGCTCTTCCTCGTAGCCATCGGAGATCCAGCAGCACGGGTGGAGCTTCCACTTTCTCTTAATGGCGCAGCGATGGACTCCGGCGAAATTTAGCGATTCCGGCGATGAGAGGCTTCAAGGAGAGTCTCAGACGAATCTATTCCTCCACGCGATCACTTCCCTTAAAACAATTCCGGTGATGGAGCATGTAGGAAGAAACCGCAAGAGCAGCGGCGAAAGGGGTGACTGTCTGGCTCATTTCGGCCACCTAGAAGATCGATCTCGCGAAACGAATGCCAAAAACGGACTCCTGGGGAAGAATCGAGCCAGATGGCGTGGAGAGCGTTCGGTTCTGAGCGGCAACGACTTTCCGACCACCGTGAACGGAAGCTGGAGGCGGCGGTCCGGTGACCGGCTTGCGACACTCCGGTGAGTCCTCGAGAGACAGAATTCTCTTCTCTCCGCACTGATCATGGAATCGTCGCCCGATTCTCAATTGGTACGCTATAAGACTAAATTCTCAATTGTTGTATATAAGGAATTAATTAATTAATTAATTAATTTAATTGAGTAATAAAGTAAATTAAATTGAATTTGAACGAATAATCAATCGAATATGATTTTGTTAAGAATCAGTGTTAATTTAGGAATTTTAATAAATATTGGTAGGGGAGAGTTATAATTTAAGGCTTAGACAAGTAAATAGTTTTAGAGCAATTAATAATATCATTGAATCTAGAGCAATTAATAATATCATTGAATCATGCTTGGAGGTTAATGTAATTTGTTAATTAGTTAATTTGGAACTATTAAGTGTATATATGTGTGTTTAATGGATGATACATGTAGTTTGAAGCGGATGGGTTGGTTGAATTGATTGCTCGATGGATGGGCCGTGTGAATTGATTGATTGAATAATTGATAAATAATGCTATAGCGGACAAGATGAGTTGATTTGAATTGCCCGACGGATGGGCTTTGATATTATATTGTTGAATTGTGGTTTAGTCAAATTTTAGGGGTGGTCCTGCCGAAATTTCGATAGAATCTAGACTAGTTTTAATTAATAACATAACAAATAAGCTTATTTAGATAAATTCTATAATTTGTTACATAATAAATAAAGTGATAAATAATAAATACATAGTTCCAAGAAAAAGAAAAAAAAACACGTATAACAATAGAAAATGGACAAACCCATCAGCTTCTAAGAAGAAGAGAACAATTCTAGTCAACAGGATTTATTTTAGGCTGCCGTCTAAAGCACCGTTTTTGGTTTTATGAGAGCATTAAATTACAATAAAACTACACAAATGGGTTTCACTCAGTTACCATTTTAGGATTTGTTGTTATTAGATATTGCTCAATTAGTTGTGATGTGCTATATGTATATCTTGCTTGTGTGGAATTGGAATGAAGTGAATCACCATTGGTTTTGTGAATGCGGTCTATAATACCGTCAGCTATGTATGGGGAGATCGGCACCCTCGTGTACATCTGATGAAATATGATATGAATGATATGGAAAACCACAAGATGGCCTCCTTATGGGGAGATCGGCACCCTCGTGTACATCTGATGAAATATGATATGAATGATATGGAAAACCACAAGATGGCCTCCTGTTAGTATGAAAAAAAAAAGAGAGTATAAAAAAATTGAAAGGGCTGGTCAAGTGAGGTTGAGACCAGTTGACCATGTAAGAGGGATCAGCTCCTTGGTGCATACGTGATGTAAAGACAAGCCATGTGTGAGGACGGCTTATCGGGGATTTTGGTGATGCCATTGACCAATTTCCACTTAATGTGATTATGTGAAAATGTTAATATTTGTGATTGTTGTTGTTATGCCATTTGTGTGATTGACTGCATGATCATAGAACTAGTTGGATGACTAGATTGAATTATCTACACATTTGTATGATTATGTGGGGTGAGAGGGTTATCTAATACTACTCACTGAATTTTGGCGCTCACCCTTGCCTTAAATTTTTTCTTTTTTTTCAAGTTACTAGTTTCCCAATAACTCGTTATGCTCTGTCATCATACGTCAAGAAGAAATCTCAATAAATATTGCTTAGATGTTAAGTTTTTTTATTTTTCCGCTGTATAATAAATTAGAAATTATTGATGTATGACTTATTAAAGTTTCTATCATGTAAGAATATTATATGGGTCTAGAGAACTTTAAAAATTAATTTATTATTGAATATGATGAATTGGATCAAGCGAGCGCAAGACATATAATAAATAAATGTTGATGATATTGGGCCTGTGGCCAATTCTATTAAATAGGAAGTTTATTTGGTATATTTTTGGCTTACTACGGCTTTTATGGCTTTAAGCCTACCTATATTTTAGTTCCGGTTAGCTCAAGATAATGGGTCTAACAATAATATTACCAAAATTTATAACTTTAGAGGCGTAATAAGTCACACGTAAAGTTTAAGATGTTACGTATTTTTTAACCAATAGAGGCGTAATAAGTCACACGTAAAGTTTAAGATGTTACGTATTTTTTAACCAATTCAAAAAATTTTTAACTAGTTAATTTATGCAATTGATAGTTGTTTTCTATTTAATTGTTAGATTATAAGTGTTGGTATGGCTTTAATTAATTAGTGATAATTAATAGAAGTCTAACTAATTATTAATTCCATTGGCTAGATTTTCGAGTTTTTCCAAGTTTTCGGAGTTTTCCTATCAAGTGGTAGCTAATTTGTTTTTATATTATATTTAAATTATAATAACTTTTAAAAAATAATTATTAATAAAACTATTTTTTAAATTAATTAATTTTTTTTTATCGTAAGGACATTTTTATTTAAAATTATGTGTAAAAATCATCAACTAAAGATAAAAATCAATTGAAACAACGCCACCATCCATATGCAATAATCAAAATACAAGTATCTTTTTAAATACGAAATGAACTAAAAACATGTATAGGAAAAAAAAATTATTGTCGAACAGGTTAGTTGGTACTGGTTCTTCCTTTCATGCTTATTAAATTGTCTTCTCATGTTTATTTTTTTAGTAAACTGTATGAAGATATTGTAAGAAAACAAATTATATTATTAAGGCAAATTGACATAAGCTGTTTATGGATGAAATATAATAAATAATTAGTAAAAATGAATTTTTAAATAAATTTAAAATATAAAAGAATAGTAATAACCTAATTGTTTATGGATGAAATATAATAAATAATTAGTAAAATGAATTTTTAAATAAATTTAAATATAAAAATAGTATAACCCTAATTTATAGTAAATAATTTATATGTATTAAACTCTCATAACGTGTGGAAATACTATATATATATATATATAGGAATAATTTATAATTAAGAAGAGTGACAACAAAATAACAACAAAACAGAATTTGCATACTTGATTAAAGGTAGTTTATAATTAGTTTACCAGTTTATTTATAGTATTGCTATCCTAATCCTAATTGGGATAAGAAAGTGATTCAAAATAATTTAGAGATTAAAATAAAATTAAGTTCAAATTAAACCTTAATTAAATTCCACCTAGGGTAATATTCACATACTATTACAATTGTATTGGATCTATTCAAATCCTAAATTCACTTTTGGGCCACAGCTTCAAATCCTTTATACGGTAACGACAATCGTAAATTATTAGATATGAAACTAACATTGGTGTATTTGTCTATCGACTTATTTATTCTCCCACATCAAACTAACATTTATTGAACCTATCTTGAGATTTTACCAACTGCTGAAGGAAGATATGGAGTGGCAGTTAAATATAGAGCATGTCTTCTCGTTGCTGTACCATCAAGATCGTCAGACATGTCAAGATCTTCTGGCTTCTGTCCACCAGGAAGCTTCCAATCAAAATGATATAGTAACTGTGCAAGTGGAAGCTCAACGGAAGCAAGACCAAATAACATTCCAGGACACATCCTCCTTCCAGCTCCAAATGGGATAAATTCAAAATTAGTCCCTTTAAAATCAATTGAACTATTAATGAATCTTTCTGGATAAAATCTCTCAGCTTCATCCCAATATTTTGGATCCCTCGCAATAGCCCATGCATTCACAATGACAGTAGATTTCGTAGCTATATTATAACCTTCAATTACACAATCCTCTCTGCTCTGTCTTGGGAGTAACAATGGGACAGCTGGGTGTAATCTCAGAGTTTCTTTGATCACCAATTTCAAGTAGTTTAGTTCATGCAAGTCTGCTTCATCGACCTTTCCTTTAGAACCAAAAACTTCCCTCACTTCTGCTTGTGCCTTTTCCATTATTGAGGGGTTTTTCACCATTTCTGATATTGCCCATTCTATGGTTGTTGATGACGTGTCACTACCAGCGATGAACATGTCCTGAAATATAAATTATTGAGATCAAGACAAGCAATGGAGAAAGCAAAGTCTTTGCAGTGACTGAGCCAGAATTGTTGACTCGTTGGACGGCCCATCTCAACACTTTTGCTTAAAAAGTTGAAAAAAAAAAAAAAATGAAAGATATGAGAAGATTTTCCTGTGGTGACTGATAGATAAGCTAAGATTCTTATGTGGTGATAGATAAGCTACTAATTGACTAACCAGTAACCGTATATAACATCAGCAAGCTAATTACCATATATACACTTCGAGACAATAATAATTATTTTTTTATTATTGTAATTACCTTTTTTTTTTTAATTACAAGGGTATCAATCCACACCCATCTAATGATAGTGAAAGATCAATCCCTTAATTTTCCGTGGTTTAGGGATATTTCATTAAAAAAAATAAATTAATAAAAAATATCTTTTTTCAAAGAAAAATTAAGTTATTTTTAAGAAAAATGACTTTCCATTTATAAGCGAGTAAAACAAAAACATTTATCAAACATCGATAAATTTATTATAACATTATAAATCTATATTTTTTAATTTATTAATTATAGGTGGCTAATACTATCGGTCACTGTCGGCTACCACACTCAGCCACCACACTCGTCACTGTTGGCTTTCATAATTTATCATTTTTTTATTCTTCTCATATTTAATAATAAAAATTTTAAAATATTAAATTTTATTATTATTAAGAGTTTTATGAGTTAAAAACTTTAATATTTTTAATTAATTTTTAATATTATAACTAAATAATGAAAAATAATTTAATAATAAAAACTTTTAAAATCATTAAATTTTTATTATTATTATATGAGTTTTTACTGAGGTTAAACAACTTTAATATTTCTTTAAAAACTTTAATATTTTTAATTAATTTTTAATATTATAACTAAATAATGAAAAATAAATCATTTGAAAAATATTTTTTTAAAATAAGTTATTTTTGAAAAATAAAAGAAGCTTTTAAGTGCGAGATTTAGTGCCATGAACCATTAAACTAATTAAGTTATTATTGTAATCACTTTATTAATGTGTCCAATAATTGTTACTTAGTCCATAGGATATACAGGATGAACAAAATTCAACCAAAGTTTCAAGTCAAAAGAGAAATGATGCAAGAGATATACTAACCAAGATTACTGCTTTGATGCCATCGTTGGATAGATATGAATCAAGGTCCCCATTTTCTTGAAATTTCAAAAGAACATCTACAAGATCTTCTTCCTCCTTACTGTTTATCCCAGCATGTGCCATTCTTTTTCTCTCTCTGTGTTCGATCACAATATTTTCAATTATCTTATCTACTTCCCCATGGATCTTCTCTACTCTACGCCTTACAACACTAAGAGCATTAAACAATTTAACAGAGGGATACAAATCAGCAAGACTAATACTTCTCCCTGCTTCAACCAACTTTTCAACAGCCGGCACAAATACTTCTTCTCCTCGCGATACTTTACCACAGACAGCTCTTGAAATAATAGCATATGTCAACGAACTAGCCATTTTGCTAAAATTGATAGGAGACTAATACTTCTCCCTGCTTCAACCAACTTTTCAACAGCCGGCACAAATACTTCTTCTCCTCGCGATACTTTACCACAGACAGCTCTTGAAATAATAGCATATGTCAACGAACTAGCCATTTTGCTAAAATTGATAGGCGATCCTGAGCTTGAAGATATCGATTCAACGAGTTTAGACACTTCTTCTTCTCTGATTGATTTGAATGACTGTACACGCTTCGCAGTTAATAACTCGAGGGAGCACATCTTTCGCAATTGTCGCCAATATTCTCCATAAGGCGCAAATGCGATATCTTTACATTTATAGCTTACGATATCACCGGCGAGGACAAAAGGCCTTTGAGCAAAATTGACGTCATGGGTTTTCATAACTTCTTGAGCAAGTTCCGGTGAAGAAATTACTACGGTGGTATTTTCGCCGAGCTGAAGGTGCATAATGGGTCCGTATTTCTTGGATAGATCTCTTAGGCGGTGATAGGGTAAATCGCCGACTAAATTGTGAACGTTCCCTATTAGAGGTAGTTTGTTTGGTCCTGGTGGTAGATTTGGGGTTGAGTTGGCTTTTGATTTCTTCCATATCCTTAATGCGATGAAAATGAAGAGTACGGTGATGAAGAAAAGCATTGTGAACGAAGGAAAGAGAAAGAAAAGCTCAAGGATGTGTTATAAATGTGAATTTGATCTTGTAATGTCAACTGGACTCAGTTTTAATTGACTTTGATTCAATTTATTTATTTATTTTTAATGAGAATTGAACTTTAAGGCTTTGTTTGGAAAGAAAAGCCAAGAAAATAATGAAAATCATTTTCACATTAAACAATATAATTTTATCGATTCATCTATCATTTTTTTTTCCCTTCAATTTTGTGGCTCTGGAAGTAATTTCGTCTGGTATTTTCCTCGCTCTTTCAGAATTAGAGAAAACCCTTTCTTAAATACTTTCTTCAGATATTTTCATTCCTCCAAACAAAGCCTAAGTACTAGTCATTAAACGAAACGCGCGTTTAACGTTGCATTGACTGAGGCAATAAATATCTATATTATGTACAGCTGTCAGTGAAACGTCTATGAGGGAGTGTTATTGCATTTTTGCTGTCCTTTTCGTTATCAATAGTTATAAATAGTTAAATACTAATTAGTCCCTCAGAACCAATCTTAATTACTACTTCATCCCACCTTTTTCGAAAATATATTCGTTAATCTATCAAATTCAACAAATGTGGAATTGAAAAATATCACCCCTAGAAGTGCTGAAACAACCCGAGTTTTTATTTTCAAAAATTATCCAATTAAATTTAATTAACCGACAGCCTGAAAATTAATATTAATATTTTAGTGCAACTACTATGAGAAACCGAACCAAAAAACCGATTGAAAAAGTCGAAAACCAGTTGAAAATTCCAACCCTAGAAGTGCTAGAAAACAACCCCGAGTTTTTATTTTCAAAAATTAAATCCAATTTAAAATTTTAATTAACCCGATCAGCCTGAAAAATTAAACTATTTAATATTTTAAGTGCAACTACTATTGAGAAACCGAAGAACGCAAGAAAACCGATTGAAGAATCGAGATCGGCAGTTGAAAATTGGAGATGATTTGGGCCGAATCCGATCGAATCGAACCCGTTCGAACCCAAACAATCTAGAAAATTCCCCCGCTTTCTTTTCTTTTTGTTTTTTTTTTTTTTTTATCTCCCGGTCAGCGCTGCCTACCCTCGACGCTCTCTATTGCTCACCATCACAGCAGCGGGCCTCCCTCTCTCCCTCTCTTTCTAGTTTTCCTTTTTTTGTTCCTCTTCTTCTTACTTTCTTTCTTTTCTTTTCTTTCTTTTCTTTGCGTTTCTTTCAACTGCGGCTGCGTTCTTCATTTCTGGCGACACTTCTTTCTTTTCTTTCTTTCTTTCCTTTTTCCCTTCACTGCGCCTGCGTCTTCATTTCTGGCGAGACAGCAGGTGATCGCGCCACCCAGCCACCGTGCGCCACCGCCGCACCTTGCTGTCGCAGTCGATCCGCCATCGCCACCCTCCTCTCCGGCCACCAACCTCCATTTCCGGTTAACCAAAAAGTCCGGCAACAATATATTGGGTATAATTTCATTTTAATAATATTATTTAATTAAATTAATTTTATTATTGGTAGTTAATTAATTTAGTTAAATTAATGTTAGTAATATTAGCTAATTTTTATTATTAGTAGTCAATTAATTTAGTTAAGTTAATGTTAGTAATAGTAGTTAATTAAATTAAATTTATTGGTTGTAGTGAATTAATTTAGTTAATTTAATTTAGTAATTGTGAGTAGTTACAAGATTTATAATTTTATTGTTGATTTAATGAAGTTTCGATATAACGTTATTGATGGAGGATGGAAAAATTTGATTGATTGATTGCCCGATGGATGGGCTGTGTGGTTTGAAATTTTTAGATAAATTGTGTATATTTTAACAGGTGGATAGTCCAACTTTTAGGGGGAGATGCTGCCGAAATTTCGGTAGAAATAAAATAAGTTTCGGTAGAAAAATAAAAACAAATTCGGTATAAAAAAATAAAATAAATTTCGGTAGAAGGAATAAAATAAATCTTGGTAGAAAATAAAATAGTAAATAAAGTATATTTCAGACGAAAACAAATAAAATAGAGTTAGATAGAAAAATAAAAAATTTTAGTACAGAAAAGAAATTAAATATCGAGATTTATTTATGTAGAAAAAAAAAATGTAGAATATAAAATAAAATTCTTAGAGTAGTAAAGAAATATTGTCTGATAGAATTATTTTCTTTTGTGTCGTTCTTACTTTGCTTAAGACTCGCCCGGGTCCATCTAGTGCTCCTCCAGGACCAGAATCCAAAGCTAGAATTCGCTCTCCATCACTGTGGAGTAATAATAAATAACTCGCATAAGTCAACTTACTGCATTTGCATAACATACATTTTTTAATATATTTACATATTGTATTTTCTCAAAATATTATGTTATGATCACGTATAATTATACTTTATGCATAATTGTGCATTTGGATGAAAATTGGTGTTATTATGAATAAATGAATTTGTTTGATTATTTGTGCTGGTGTATATCTGTGCTCTGTTTGTGTTGGAGTTTAGGAATGAAGTGGGTCACCCTGGGTTTTGTGAGGAACGGTCGGATAAAATATTTTGGATTCCTCGCATGAAACTTGATGAAAATTGGATCCCAGTCCGGGCCGGGTAAATGGGGAGATCGGCGCCCCGGTTTGGTGCACCTGATAAGAATTGATGAAAATATGTTAGATGAGATGGAAAAAGAAAAGAGAGAGAGAATGTAAGATAAAAGTATTTTGAACAGAAAGTGACTGGTCAAGTGGAGGATTCAGACCGGTCGGTCCAGATATGGGGGATTGAGCCTCCACCGGAGTGCACATGTTGAGAAGGAGGTGGCTGTTTTAGAGAAGGACGGCTTCGTCTCGGTGGGTTTAAAGGGTGACGCCACTGACCTATTAATTTCCACCGTGAATGTGATAATTTGAAAGGTGATAATTGTTTGTGGTGCTGATGTAATGTCATATGATTTGGACTGTTGTGTGTTCATTCAGATATATTTTTCACTAAGGGTGCATTTTTGTTGGACCTGTTTATGTGGTGTGTATTATTTATTAATTTATTCACTGAGTTTGCAAAACTCAACCTCCCCAACAAACTCTTTTCCATTAGGTTACTAAGGAAGCATGACTGATTCGACTGAAAGCTTTCTGCAATCTTCTCCGTTCTTAATTGTAGTTACAAATTGTAAAACTTTTTTATTCCGTTATCAGATTATTTTTAGACTCCGCAGTTATAGGGTTGTGTATTAATATTGGACTTATTGTTAGCACTACACTATAAATTAAATGTTAGGTAATTAGCTGCAGTATTAATATTGGACTTATTGTTAGCACTACACTATAAATTAAATGTTAGGTAATTAGCTGCAGGTGAACCAGTAAGCCCATAACGTGATTATAACTTATTGTGAATAGGCCCTGGTTATACATTGTGTTATTTGAGTTTGGGCCAGATGTTTGTATATGGGTTTACTGTTTTGATGAAATTGGAAAAGATAGGTAGACATATTAGATAATTTAGGCTTACTACGGGCCTCGGGGGCTTTAAGCTTACCTGGGCCCTAGTGCTCGGGCCATTAAGCTTACCTGGGCCCTAGTGCCGGTCCGGGCCCAATGGAAACGGGTTCCGTGAAACAAGTGCTCACATTACTAAAAATACACACTTAGCTGAATGGGCCCATAAACCGACAGGGTTTCCTGATTATAAATAAATAAATATATATATATTAAAAAATCAAGTAGGCCTACCCTAGGAGCGTTAGTAAAATAAATTCTTAGAAATTATTTTATTTTCAATATAATATCAGATCTAACTAAATTTATATTTATCTTCCTTTCATAATCACCATAATTTTATATTATTAGTTTTATATATAATATATATATATATATAGTGGTATTATATATATATATATACTAATATATTATAATTCTGCTACCTTATATAATTTATTGCTTAATATTAAAACTAAAGGCAGATCAACATCACATGGCTTGTTTCCTGTTCAGCATATCGAACAGCCAAGATCAAATCCCGCAAAATACAAAAATAATCACAATTTTGGTTAGTTTTTAATACACTATTGGGACATATATATAATAATTCTGCTACCTTATATAATTTATTGCAATAATATAAATAAGGCAGATCACATCACATGGCTTGTTTCCTGTTCAGCATATCGAACAGCCAAGATCAAATCCCAGCAAATATCAAAATATCACATTTGGTAGTTTTTAATACTATTGACATTTGATTTTGATTGATTTTTTCACAAAAAAAAGTCCCTACAATTACTCTCATCGATTCCTCAAGAATATTACAATGGCTATATTTGTATTTCATGAATTTATAAAATAATTATTTAACTTAAAATTATTTGTTTCTAAACTATTCCTTTTATTATATAAAATGGTTCAATGTATAAATTTACCTTTGTACTTTATGTAAAAAAAAAAATATTATCAAATTCATGTAACTTTCGTTTTAATCTGTTGAACACTTCAATTTATAAGATTATACTCATTAAATACTTCAACTTGTAAGAATTATTTTACTGAATACTCAAACCGATAAAATTAGATTGATTAAACATTTATTAGATAGTTAAAAATTATGAAAACTATTATTTCAAAGATTATGCTAACTGTACATCAAGTAAATATTTTTTGTACAAATGCAAAAAACACAAAGAAATTGTTATTGCTAGTATGATGAAGCTACAATGTCATCAAAATTCATAACTTCATGGCATAATAGATCCCTCGTAAAGTTTAAGATGTCACATAATTTTTTTAATCAATCCAAATAATTTTTAACCAATTAATTCATGTAGTTGATAGTTATTGTATACTCCCTCTGTTCCAAAATATGAGTCGTTTTTGGGCGATCCCCAAATATAAGTTGTTTTAAGTATTTTAAGGAGTAATAAATAATGTTTCAATGTTATCCTTATTTAAATTAGATATAATAAATAGTTTTGCAGTAATTATTGATTTTAATATAAATGATAATTTGATCAAATTACCTTTTATTTTGTTATAATTTAGACGAATTAATTGCTTCCTTAATCTTTGTGCAAGAACATTAAACGACTTAGTATTTACAATAAATTATTGAGTAAATTGACTATATTACTCTCAATTTAATACTAATTCTCTAACAAAATTATTAAATTGAAGTAATAATTATTGGCCATATACAAATGGTAAACATGAAAAAAGCGATTTATTACTCTTTGAAACCACAAATGTAAAAAGTATTTTGAAAAAAACTATTTTCTTAAATGTGACAAGTATTATGGAACAGAAGCAGTAGATTATAAGAATTGGTATGGACTTTAATTAATAAGTGATAACTAATAGAAGTCTAACTAATTATTAATTCCATTAGCTATATTTTGGCGTTTTTCTTATAAAGTGATAGCTAATTTGTATTTATATTATATTTAAATTATAATATCTTTTAAAAAATAATTACAAAATTATTTTTTTAAATTAGTATTTTTATCTAGACATTTTATTTAAAATTATTTAAAAATCATAAATTATATTTTTAAGTATTATTATGAAAAATTCAATTAATATTTTTATTTTTATAACACAATAAAATTGGAAATAATATATTTACTTAAAAAAATTGAAATCTAAATACTAGATAATACGTTGATTATATCACACATAACTAGTTAGGAAAAAAAAAAATCTAATTAATCAAATGAGGACTATCCCAAGCCCAAGCCAATCTCTAGGGATCTTCTCTATTGCCTCACTCTACGTTTTGAATACGTTGCATAAAATAGACCGAAGTTTCGTATGAACCCAACAAATACTATTTTCTCCTTTTTCTTTTTCATTACTAGAGAGTAGAGAGGTACGGTTAGCTCTAAACAGTAAAATTGAATTTATCAGTTTGGTTCTATTTGATTGAACCTGAACAAATGGAATGCTCTCTCCTTAACAGCAATGAAAAATAAAAAGATGGAGAAGTCCTTTAATTGACACATTATTCAATTTACTAAACCAAAAGTAATTGTCTGCATGCGAAAAATCACTCAGTGAACATTAATTAGAACATCAATTGCAGATAGAATAACCATTACATCTAATCTTGAGACAGGACATATATAAATTAAGTACGGAATGGAATAGGAATGAGTTCAAGGTCTACTTTTCTTTTGACAGCTCCTCCAAAACATTCATTCATGTCGAGATTCTCTGCTGTTATTCCTTGAGGAAATTTCCAGTCAAAATGATATAGCAAGTTTGCAAGGAAAAGTTCCATATTAGCTGAAGCTAATGTAATTCCGGGGCATATTCTTCTTCCTGCACCAAATGGAATCAGTTCAAAATTGTTACCCTTATAATCAATTGAACTGTCAATAAATCTGTCGGGATTGAATTTCTCAGCTTCACTCCAAATTTCAGGATCTCTTCCAATTGCCCATGTATTAACGAAAATCTTAGTATTAGGATAAATGTCGTATCCAGCGACTTTAGTTCTTTCCCTACAAAGCCTTGGAATTACTGCACCTGGAGGATGTAATCTCAATGTTTCTTTAATAATTAACTTTAAACATTTTAATTCCTGAATTTTTGCATCCTCAACCTCTCCATTTTCACCAAAGAAACTCCGCAATTCTTCTTGTGCTTTTCTCATTACTTCTGGATTCCTCATCAACTCTGCCATTGCCCATTCTACTGTTTTTGAGGACGTGTCGCTGCCAGCCCCAAACATTTCCTGCAATTAATAAAATTTCTTTATTTGTGAGCTTTAAAGTCTTATCGGAAGCTACTAAATCATCAGTTGAAACTTGAAATAACAGTAGGTTCTTAATTCATCTCTAAGAAGAGGAAGATAACCATGATTGTTCCTTTGATGGCGGCATCAGGTAAGGGAACATCAAGATTTCCACTTTCTTGAAGATCCAAAAGAACATCAAGAAGATTATCAGCTTGGCTCTGATCTCCATTCTTGGGAACTGCCGCCTTCCTGTTAGCTCTATGCTCTTGCAAAACATCTTCGAGAATCTTATCTGTTTCACGATGCGTTTTCCAAATTCTAGACCTTTCCCTTTTGACTGAAGGAAGCCATTGTAAGGAAGGAAAGATATCAGCTATATTAACACCTGATGAAGCTAAAACTGCTTCATCAATAACTTTTAACAATCCTTCTTGATTTTTGCTTCTATGACCAACAGCAGTTCTTGCAACTATAGAATTTGTCAAAGCAAATAAAGTATGAGTAAGATTAACAGAACTTCCCTCTTTTGAACGCAGAAATTTTACAAAATCTGCAACTTCTTCTTCTCTCACAGATCGAAACGACTGTACTCGTTTTGTGCTAAGTAATTCGACCGTGCAAAATTTTCTCATTTGTTTCAAGTGATCTCCGTAGGGCGCAAAAAAGATGTCGTATGGGCTATAAAGAATTACTTCTGCTGCAAGGACAACCGGATGGTCGGCGAAAACTGGATCTTGAATTTTCATTACTTCTTTGGCTGTTTCCGGGGAAGAAACGACAACATAAGGAATCTGACCGACATTAATACTCATTACCGGGCCATGAGTTTTAGCCAACTCTGTTAACCGTCTATGAAATGTGTCGCCGGCAAGCTGGAGAATGTTACCTAAGAAAGGTAATTTCCATGGTCCGGGTGGAGGGTTAGAATCATGTTTGTATAATTTCTTGGATACTTTTAATAAGACCAGAAGAAAAAGAAGGAAACTGAAAAGAGCTGGAAATGAGAGGATTTGATGTTCCATAGTCAGAAAACTTTTTTTTTTTTTTTTTTAGGTTAGAATCATTGTTTGTATAATTTCTTGGATTACTTATAATAAGACGCGAAGAAGAGAAGAAGAGAAACTGAAAAGAGCTGGAAATGAGAGGATTTGATGTTCCACTAAGTTTCAAACTTTTTTTTTTTTTTTTTGGTGAGATAAATCATTAATATTTGCATATTTATAAGGGTTACTGCTGTCCTTTTCTGACTTCCTTATTAATATATTTTTATTACATTAAATACTAAAAAAGATTTAATCATATTCGAATCATTTTTAGCCATTTTGATAATATATTTAGCCATGCACGTGGTAAATGCCATTTAAAAAATTGTTTTCCTAGAATGCGTCGATGAAAATCTCACTACCCAACGAGCCATAAACTCTCTGTTGCTGTAAGATGTCCGATTCACTGTTCATCTATATTTTTCTTTTTTTTTTTTTTTTTTTTTTTTTTTTATTTTTTTTTTTATAATTTTCACCCTCCGATTAGTGTAAAGCCAAATTCTACCCTTATCTTGATTTTTTATGCTTGCATGTGATAACTTGCACAGAGTTTTTTTTTTTTTTTTTTTTTTTTTTTGATAATTTCACCCTCCGATTATGTGTAAAGCCAAATTCTACCCTTAATCTTGATTTTTTATGCTTGCATGTGTAATTGCACAGAGCCACGTGCCATTATTCTCCCTTCCAAATAGTCCGGTATGCTGTACACTACACTGCTCACCTCAACCAAAAATTCATGCACACCATACATAGCTGAAGGAAAAAACTTGCCACTGCCATCGGATGCAGCTTTGTTTATGAATCAAATAAATAAAATTAAAAATTTTATAAAAAATGTTTCAACTTTATTTTTAAATGTATAATCAGAAATACCGTCATTTCAATAAAAATCTTTAATTTTATTTGTTTGATTCAAAAGTGAGAGTATAGACTCAGTATATGTAAGTTTTCTCATAGCTAGATTACCTTCAAGTATTGGCTCTATACACAAATTAACATCTCAACTTTTTTTTCGGTGGAATAAAGGAGCTATACAAAGACTACCTTAGAAAGCTAATACCACAAGCATCAGCCCAAAGAATTAAATCTAAAGACGTCGAGCAAGAGTCTCAAATAAACAAAGAGGAAGGGATAGAATGATCTAATCTGGCCAAATGAGTAGTAGCAAAATTCGTCTGTTGAAAAATATGATACATAGAACACTCCCAATCACGAACCAATAAATTCTTTATATCCAGAATAAGAACCGCCAACAGATGAAAAGACAACAACTCTGAATGGACTAAACAAACTGCCTCCAAACTATCGAATTCCACAATAACCTTCTGAAAACCATAATCCCAAACAAGAACAAGGTCAGTCCCAATAGCAGTCAACTCCCTGCCAAAATCATAAAGTACCCAATATTAATGGAAAAACCCCCAGCCATTTACCCTAGAAGTCCTGGAATAAACCACCTCCACTAGAAAGACCCGAATTAGTAAGACAACTATCATCACAATTCAATTTGACCCAACCCTCCTGCAGGCAACCCAAGCAACACTAATCTGCCTACGAACCTTAACAATGGCAACAGGAGAAGAATTAACAATATCCATGGCAACTTTAAACATACACCAATTTAACAAATAGAGCAAGGGAATCATTTTGAAAAATAAATAAATTTCTCGCTTTCCAAGCCCACCAAATAGAGGCAAGAAACCAAAATTACCAGGAAATATCAAAAGGACTTGGAACATAGCAAGACAAGTTTCTCCTCAACCACATAGTCAAATTAGCCTTACCAAAGAAATTTGAAGGCAAGTCCCATTGCTGCCACCATCCCTACATCACAACACAATCATGCAAAAGATGTAAAAGGGATTCTTCGGACAGACTACAACGATTGTACAAATTAAAGGAAAACAAGCCTCGAATATACTGCAAAGAATTAGGAAAAAGAGAATGAAGAATCAAATATAAAAAAAATGCCTCAACTTAGGTAAACTATCAATCTTCCAAATCCAAACAAAAGGAGAAGCAACAAAATCGACAGGGTACTTCAAAAAATAGAGAGGAATAAGCTGCTTTAACTGTAAAATTACCATTAGATGAAAACCGCCAAATAGGAGAGTTAGTTACAACTACCGTCACAGAGAGAAGAATTGCTCGAATATAACACTTAAGCACATCAGGAAGAGGAGTCCGTAAATTTGAAAAATCCCAAGAACCATTCCGAATGAGAGCCCCCACCCTAAGATGCTCCTAACCCCCTGTAATAGAATCCAAAACATGCACCAAAGGACCCACAGGCAACCAAAAATCATATCACAGGCTAATCCGTTGACCATCACCCACACGCCAAAAGAAAAGAGGTTGTAACCGTAAGAAACTTCTAACGATACCTTTCCATGTACTAGAATCAGAATTCTTCAATCCAGGAGGAAAAGAATGCCCTTGACAATACTTCATAGACAACACTTGTACCCTCAAAGCTGAGTCTCGTGTAAACATTTTCCAACCCAGCTTGCCAAGCAAAGTCACATTCAACAACCGAGCACTCCGAAAATCCAAACCACCCAACCTCTTAGGCTTAATAAGCTAATGTCAACCTACCAAGTGCATCTTGCGACGGTTATTCGAAGAACTCCAATAAAAATTATGGGCTAAGAGATCTAACCCGGCACAAATAGAAGAAGGCATCTATACAGTTTGCATAGAATAAACAGGCAAAGAAGAGATAGAAGACTTGATAAGAACTTCTTTACCAGTAGGACTAAGTAAACGTGACCACCAATTAGCCAGACACAGTTCCACCTTCTGAATCAGAGATTGATAATGTTCCACAGAAGAGCGACCGTGTAACAGAGGACCACCCAAATACTTAACCAAGTCCGAGGTAAAAGCGACACCCAACTCCTGCTGAAGTCTATGCTTCATAGCATGGGAAATTGATTTAGAGAAAAAGATATGGGATTTTGCCAAATTGGCACGTTGACCATTGCAATCACAAAAACTGGCTAGCACATCAAAAACCACCTTAGCCTGATGCATCATAGCTTTCGCAAAAATAATCAAATAATCAGCAAAGAGTAAGTGGCTTATGGACGGACCACTCCGAGAAGCACGAACTGAAACCCACTTCTTCCTCCTAACCTACTTCCCAATCAATAAAGAGAGACCCTCCATGCATAGCACAAAAAGATAAGGAGAAAGAGGATCCCCCTACCGTAAGCCCCAAGTAAGCGAGAAAAAAGTAGAAAGGCACCCATTCCATAAAACTGCCAAAGAGGACTGAGAAAGGGCACTCATAATCAAGGAAACCCAAAGACAAGGAAACCCAAAGACAAGGAAAGCCAAACGACTACAAAATAAACCGCAAATAATCCCAATGAACTCTACCATAAGCCTTCTCCAGATCAACTTTCAAAACAAAATGATACCTTTTACACTTAAATTGCCTAAAAGAATAAAGAAGCTCCTTAGTAATAATATTATTATCAACAATCGACTGACCAAGTATGAAACTGCTCTAAAATGGACCTATCAAACCATCAATAAAGGGATGCAATCGAAGAGTAAGAACCTTTGTAACAACTTTGTACAGAACGTTACAAAGAGTAATCGGACGAAACTAGGAAATCACCTATGGTGTAGCCACCTTAGGGACAATAAAACCCTGAGCCATATGCGGATTCATCATACCAAAAGAAAAGGTATGATTAACAAAAGAAACCACCTCATCACCAACAACATCCCAATATTTCTTAAAAAATAAAGGTTGAAATCCATCAGGTCCATGGGCTTTAAAAGAACCCATACTAGACACTGCCTCCCAAATCTCCTCCCTAGAAACCAGTCTCATCATGACCCCGACAGCATCCATCGACAAATAAGGAAAAATAATGTTGGAGAAACTAGAGGAATAGAACTGAGCATCAATTGAGAATAAATTCTAATAAAAGGAACTAGCCAAATTCTTTAGCTGTAACGGATCCGAAATCCACACCCCATCTTCAGTCTTCAAGCACTCAATTTTATTCTTTTTCGATGAACTAGAGTGACAGCATGATAATATTTAGTACAATGATCACCATCCTTAATCCAAGAAGAGCGAGATTTTTAGAACCAAAAATCCTCCTCCTGGCGCAAGATCAAACTATACTAAGACAACAAATCGCACTCTAGCTCTAGTAAATAAGAAGTGACATGTCATTGCAGAGCCGCTTGAACCTCCTTAATGCAACGTAACAAAATATTCTTATTAAAATGAAAGTTACCAAAAACCTCCTTATTCCAAAGACAAATTTGTTCTTGCACATTAGCAAGAGCCCCTGAAATAGAAGAATGAGGCAACCTCTAAGCAGAAGCTACCACAGCTATAAAATCCTCTGTAATAGCCCAAACTGCTTCAAATCGAAAAGGTTTATTAACAAGAAAAGGAGAAAACCATTTAGTAGCAAGCAACAGGGCAAAAATGATCAGAAGCAAAGCGAGGCAAAGACATAACAGAAGCTTCAGGAAAGCCACAACGCCAGTCTGTGTTACACAAAGCCTTATCAAGCTGCTCTTAAATAACACCAATACTTGAAACAGAACGGGTCCAAATAAACTGACAACATGTATAACCCAAATCCAATAAAGAACACTAATCCCAATTATCAACAAAACAATGACATTTAAAATAAGAGGCCACGATGCCACCTTTCTTCTCAATAGGACTAGCAATATCATTAAAATCCCCAAATAAAAGCCTAGGAGCATGCATGTAACTAGCTATATCCACCATACGAGATAAAAAATAATCTCTCTAAACACGAATAGGACTAGCATACACTGCTGTTAAAAACCAATCAGAATACCCAGAGCAAGAAATAGAATAATGCACAAACTGGGTATCCACCACAATCTCATGAATAATGCAAGAATAATCTTGCCACAAAACACACACACCACCAGCAAAACCAACAGGATGAGACAGAATAAAATTCAAAAAAAAC